TCAGTATTTCACCTCATGAATTTCAACCTTACTTTATTTCAGATCTTCATCTTAGTATGGTGCCAAATAAAAACACTGCTTTTTTGTAAAAATCCTCAGTGTCTTGAGCTAGCTCCCATTAAGGGTGCTGGCTGTTATTACAGCACCTTGACTAGAACAGACATTCAATAGATACTTGTTGAATTGAATTGACTGTTTTTTATTTGGCACCATAGATAGTAAGGTTTAGAAGTCCTGGTATGACGCTGTGGGTTAATGTGCCAGACTGTAAAGCCATTTGAATTGCAAGGTCAGCGGTTCAAGCTTACCAGTCACTCCTTGGAAACCCTCTACAGGGTTGCTATGGGTCAGAATCAACTTGAAGGCACTTAACAACAACAACATAGTAAGGTTGAGGAAAACAAAGACTGAGCCCACTCAGACTGGCTGGGTACTGTATCAAGTGCTTTCTTCTGCTCTTGGGTTTATAGATTTGTTTGACCTACTGATACAAAACTGAATCAATAATCTTGACTATGTGCAGCATCTGTGCAATTGAATCTTTGGGCACAAAGATGTGTTTCAATATGAATAAGGTACATTGTCCTTTAAATTCAGCAGCACAATAAGTGTTTAAGTGCTAAGAGTTGGCAGTGGAGGCAAGAATTAAAGGGAAGGAGAATTATTTAAGTCCCCTGGGAAATAAAACGTAGACTTAACTTGGTTTAAGTATTTGATGATAAGTAAGGGTTAAGTACTCTTAGTCTCAGACTCAATATTCTTTCAGCAAATACTTATTCAATACCTAATGCTTCTCCTTTTATTTTATTAATATATGTTTGCCTGATCAGCAAATATCTAGGTAGTTTAAACCTATTATATTCCAAGCTTTTTAGCAAGTATTACAAACACATAGAATCAGTTTACCTTCACAGATCACATTCTTTGGGAACATGAGTTTCTATGGAAATAAACTACTATCCTTACCCACTGGATTTGAATAGAAATAACTCTCATTTCAAAGAAATGTTCTAAATAAAACAAAAATGTTCAAAGGGATTATGAAGCCTGCCAACAGTTCAGAAGGTAGAGAAGGGAGAAGAACCAAAAAAAAAAAAAAAATTACAAAAAAACTTTTCAGATAATATTTAATGTAAAAGTAACTAGTACGATATTTCCCAGAAAGGAGCCCTGGTGGATTATCAGCTAGACTGGTAACTGCAAAGTCAGAGGTTTGAATTTATCAGTCACTCTGTGGGAAAAGATGACGTTTTCTACTCCCATGAAGATTTACAGCCTTGATACTCTACACAGGGTTGCGATGAGTGGGAACAGACTCGACTATCACGTTTACCAAAGGGGCAAAGAAGGTTTGATGGCCCACAACAAAGTGCCATAGATTTTCTTATTTGAACTATTAGCATGAATACATTTCATACCCTCTTTTACTGTAAAGTCATAAAGCAAGTCACTGGACTGATATCATGTAACATCTTACCTAATTTATGCTCACTAGTAATACTACGTATTGGTAAAGTTAATTCACTTTTAATATTTTTCACATTTTGGCAACACTGACAAGTGACTACAAAAAAAGCCCAGTCCAAGGTGGCAAACTTAGGTTCTACACATCAAAAAGATAATTTGCCCAATGGTGATTTTCAATATAGAATATCTGTAGGACATTAAGTCTAAAAATGGAGCACAGTTGTTCTGTAGGATCAGCACTGGACTGCAAACCACAAGGTTGGCAGTTTGAGCCCACCGCCGACTCTGCAGGACAAAGGTGAGGCTTTTGGCTCTCGTAAAGATTTACAGCCTCAGAATCGTTACTGACTCGACAGCAAGTTCTAAAAATACCTAGT